CCTTTGAACTGTGGTGCTGGAGAAGAATGTTGAATATACTATAGACTGCTAGGAGAACAAACAGGTTTGTCCTAGAGAGGGTGAAACTAGGCTGCTCTTTGGATTCTGAAGTTTCATCTGACATACTTTGGGCATGTTGCAAGGAGGGACCAGTCCTTACAGAGGGACATCATGTTTGGGAGAGTGAAGGGACAGCATAAGAGAGGAAGACCCTTGGTAAGATGGATTGATTCAGAGATTAGAGTAATTGGAGTAGGTGTGTCAGAGACAGTGAGGTTGGCACAGGATAGAGCAGGGTTTAGGGCTCTTGTACATAGGGTCACTATGAGTCACAAGTGACTCGACAGCACATAACAACAACAATAACATTATACTTAATAATAAGAAACTAGAAGTTTTTATCTAAGAGTAGACCAAGATGGGAATTGAGCAAGAAAAGAAAAGGCAACATTATTTTGACTCACACATTACAAGACCTTGTATATAGAAAATCATAAGGTACTCAATTAAAAAGTACTAGCAGAGCAAAGCTTTTGAATACAAAATCAATATAGAACAAAAATCAATTGTATTCTAGTGATAAGCAACAAAAATTCGAAGAAAATAGCTCCACATTAACACTAAAAAGAATAAGAGAGTAAGTTTAATATAAGAAGGGCAAACTTATACTTTGAAAATTACAAAACACTGTTGAAAGAAATTAACTTCCTACATAAATATAAAGGCTCTCCATGATTGAAATATAATAATATTCAGATAGTAATGTACCTAAAAGTGATGAACAGAGTCAGTGCAATCTCCTTTATATTTTAGTTGCTGTTTACCTCTATGAATTGATAAGCAGATTTTAAATATATATGAAAATTTAATTTGAAAACATAAAGGGACAACATGCTGGAGAGGTAGAGGTTAAGAGAAAAAAAGAAAGGCCTTCAACAAGATAGCTTCAACCAGTGACTATAACAATGGGTTCAAGTGTATCAGAGATGATGAGGATGGCACAGGATAGGACAAGATTTAGATCCATTGTTCAGTGGGTCACTATGATTTGTAGTCAACTTGTAGTGTTTCTCACAACATTTAGCTACACTAACCACAAATATTTAGTAGTGGAAACAGTTTGGAACTGGCATAAGGATAGATATATAGATCAAAGAAAACTAAAGGTGCAAAAAGAAATCTTTACATTTGTAGTCAATTGATTTGCATAACAAGATGTGAGAACAATTTTATTGGAAAAGAACAGTCTTCAACAAATAATGTGAGACAACAAAATACTCACAGAAGAATGATGTTGAACCTGACCTCATATCATATAAAAAAATTAACTCAAAATATGTCAAAAACTTAAATATCCACTGCCATTAAGTCAATTTTGATTTATTGTGATTTTGTATCATAGTGTAGGACTGCTCCATTGGTTTCCAAGTCTACAGATCTGTGTCTAAGCAGACTGCCTCAATGGAATAGCTGCAGCAATGGAATTTCTCCCTTGAAATAGGTAATGGGTTCCAGCTACAGATCTTTTTACTAGTATTCAAATGCTTTACACAAAACACAGTATAGAGTTTCTGAAAGACTATAAAATTCTTAAATGAAAACATAAGACTGGAGATAGTTCCCTACATAAATCAAGCAAAATTAAGAAAGAGGAAATAAATGGGTAAATTGGAATTCATCAAAATAAAAGTTTCTTGTATTTCAAAGAACACCATGCAAAGAAGTAAAAGGTATCAGAATCTGGTATCTGCAAGTGAAAACCACAGAATCTGAGAATAATTCGTCTGGTAGACTCAAACCACTAATATTTTTCCCAGCAGCTGAACATATTCACTGTACCACTTGGGCTTCTTCTAAAGAGAAAATGTAATCGGGCAGATTACATCTGTGGAAAGAATTGTTGGAGAAGCTCAAGATCAGTTGTGAAACTGGGTCAGTGCTGATTTTGGAAAAAGAATATCAACAACTCATACGCAAATTCAAATTGAAGCTAAAGAAAATTAAAGCCACAAGGACCAAAGTTTGTCTTTGAGTATATCCCAGCTGAATTAAAAGAAAAAAAAAATCTCAGGAACAAATCTGAGGCCTTGAATGGATATTATGGTCATGACAAGAGTCCAGAATGAAGGTTGCATAGTGGAGTGTACTCGGGGTGGAGGGGAGGGGGTAGGTGGATTGTATACCAATGAAAGAAATTTTCTTTTACTTTTCAAAGAGAAGAGCGAACTGGGGGGGGGGGGGGGGGGGGGGGGGGGGGGGGGGGACGGTGCGGGGAAGGGAGAAAACTGCAACCGTGAATGAATGGAAATCCAAACTCTCTGTAAATATTCATTAAAATTAATAAAATAAAATTAAAAACAGAAAAGACTGGGTGAGCTGTGGGAGGATATCAAGAATATTATCCATGGGGAATGCAAAGGGTCATTACAAAGACAGAAGAGAAGACCAAGATAGATGTCAGAAGAGATTCCAAATATTGTACTACAGTGCCAACAAGCCAAAACAAAATAAAGAGATCAGAAAGTTAAGAAGCTGAACTGAAGATTTCAAAAGGCAGTGTGGGAAGATAGAGCAAATGATTAGAAAGACATGTTCAAAGAGCTAGACTCAGAAAATCAAAGGGGATGAACTTTTAGGCATTTTTTAAGTTGCAAGATCTCAAGTTGCAATACTTAAGGATGCTATGGGCAGAATACTGAATGATCCAGGATACATTAAAATAAGATGAAAGGAGTACAGAGGGTCACTGTACCAAAACAGATTGGCTGACACAGAAGAATTTCATGAAACAACTTATGGTCAAGAGGCAATGATAATGAAGGAGGAAGTTCAAGCTGCTCTAAAGGAATTGGCAAAAAAACAAGGCCCCAGGAGCTGATGGAATATCAACTGATGTATTTCAACAAACAGATGTGACCTTGGACATGCTCACCAGGTTGTGCCAACACATCTTGAGGACAACTCCTTGGCTGAAAGAGATCCATATTTACTCCCATTCCCAAAAAATGTGACCAGATAAGAGTATGGAAATTATTGAGCAATAACACTAATACCGCATGCAAGCAAAATCCGGTTGAAAAGAACTCAAAAATGACTGACACGGTCCATTGACAGAGAATTACCAGAAAAGGAAAAAAAAGATATATCTGGCTTTAGACGAGGCCTTAACACTAGGGACATCATCATCAATGTCAGAGGGATCTTGGCTGAAACCAAAGAGTACAAGAGAAATGTCTATCTGTGTTTTATTGACTATGTTAAGGTCCTTGACTGTGTGGATCAAACTGTGGCTAACCTTGAGTAGAATGGGAATCCCAGAACCCTTGATTGTGCTCGTGTGAAACCTATACTTGGACCAGGAAGCAGTCCTCAGAACAGAGTGAGGAAGCACTGCATGGTTTAAAATCAGGAAAAGAATGTGTCAGGGATATGTCCTGTCTCTGTACCTTTTCAATCTATATTCAAAACAGACCATTTGGAAGTCTGGACTTTATGAAGAGGAATGTAGCATCAGGAGGAATGGAGGAAGAGTCAACAATAACCTGCATTATGCAGACGACACAACATTGTTTGGCAAAACCTAGGAAGACCTGAAATATTTGCTACAGAAGGTCAAGGACTGTAGTCTTCAAAATGTATCGAAGCTCAAAATCAAGAAGACAAAGATTCTCACCACTGGACCAATTGGCAGCAGCATGATGGATGGAGAAGAGATTGAGGTTGTTAAGAATTTCAGCTTGCTCAGTTCCACAACCATCATGCTTGGCACCAGCAGTTGGAAATAAAAAGATGAATTGCATTTGGGAAATCTTCTGTCAGGACCCCTCCAAAATGCTCAAGAGCAATGATATCAGTCTGGAGACCAAGGTGTGCTTGATCCAGGCTATGGTCTTCATAATTACTTGCTATGCATTAGAGAGCTGCCCAGTGACTAAGGATGACAGAAGAAGAACTGATGTCTTTGAGTTGTGGTGCTGGAGAAGAGTTTTGAACATACTGTGGAGTGCCAAGGGAACAAACAAGGGTGAAAACCAAATGTTCCTTGGAGGCAAGGATTTTGAAGCTCTGTCTCACATACTTTGGTTATGTGGCCAGGAGGGACCAGTCTTTGCAGAAGATCATCAGGCTTGAGAAGATGGAGGGACAGCATAAGAGAGGAAGACTTTAAATGATACAGATTGACGCAGTAACTGAGGTAATGGAGATAGACTTGTCAGAGACAGTGAGAATGGCTCAGGATAGGGCAGGGTTTTTATAAGTCACAGGTGACTTGATGGCGCATAACAACAATAATCAACACCCATGACAATAGCAGTCAAGAGGTCAAAAGAAGTGTTGCACCCAGAAATTTGCTGTTAAGATCCTTTCTAATATTGTAAAGAATGAGGATGTCAGCTTAAAGACTAAGGTGTGCCTAATCCACATCATGGTATTTTCAACTGTTTCCTATGCATCTGAAAGTTAGAAAACAAATAAGAATGACAGAAGAATTGATGCCTTTGAATTGTAATGTTGGAGAAGGATACTGAATATTCCATTAACTTCCAAAGAAACAAATCTATCTTGAAGAAGTATAATAGAATTGCTCCGTAGAGTCAAAAAATGGTGAAACTTTGTTTCATACTTTGGACATGTCAGGAGGGGCCAGTCCTTTGAACAAGATAGCATGCTTGCAATGGTGAAGGGTCAGAGAAAGAAAGGAATAACCTCAACAAGATGGACTGACACAGTGACTATGACAACAGGCTCAAGCATATCAGAGACTGTGAGGATGGTACAGGCTAGGTCAAGGTTCTGATCTGTGGTCATTGGGCCTCAGTGAGACATAGTTGACTTAATGGCACCTAAAAACAATAATATAGATATGTAAAATCTTATACCCAGAGAATTTAAAACCAGAATGTACTCAAAGCTTCAAGCGAGACTGGAAACAAATTAACAAAAAGGACCCCTGATGACAATAACAACAGAACACACTTATCAATATAGATGATATTTACCCAGTTCATCTTGGCAGAAGCTTCCTGGAGGGTTGACATATTTCATGGTGCTTACATCTAACTTCCAGTTGTGCTTTGTACATTTAACAGACCTGGATTTTTAGAAAAATGTACTAAAGATTATTAAGTAGTAAAAATAAAAATTGATCTTAATTAGGCTTAGTTATATTCTTTTGTAATATTTAATATCATTAAGTTCAATTAGTTATATGCATTTAAAAATGCATAAAATAAAACCTTTTAATAGCTATTATCTAGACATCCAAGAAAATATAAACAGATCACTGATAGATTTTAAAAATTAACATAAACTCCAAGGGACAGAATAATATTTTAGAGATCAACAAAATAATGACTCTTATGAAAGCTAAATTAGCTGTTAGACTAAAATTTTTGTTTTTCAAAGAGAAAAGATTCTTTTATAGTTAAGATTTCAGAGAAAAGTTACCAAATAAAACAGAAGATACACAATTAAATTTTAATTTCAGATAAACAATGAATAATTTTAACCATATGTGTGTCCCGTGGAACATTTGAAGGAGCTTTGGTATCATAGAGTGTAACACAGCTAACCAAGTCGGTGGTTCAAATCTAACTAGCTGTTCCAAGGAAGAAAGATAAGCAGTCCCCTCCCCTAAAGAACTGCAGCCTGGAAAACTTGACAGAGGATTGCTATGCATTAGTGTCAAGTTGATGGCAATGGGTTTGTTTGTTGGGTTTGGGGTTTTTTTCTTCCCCCAAATGCACTATTTATGTTCTACTGATAATGAAAAATATTTGTTGTTTATTTAGAATTCAAATGTAATCAAATGTCTGTGGCTTTATATGCTAACACTGACAGTCTTATTTCAGAGTTAGAAATAGATCTTAACTAAACAGACTTCCTAGTATTTTATCATTTCTCCCCAAGACTGAGAGGGGTGGGGTATGTGTCAGTTAGAGGTGGAGTATAAATAGTTTTCATTTCTTCTCTTTGGTCTGATAAAGTTTCCGGTGACTTTGTAAAAGATAAAAAAAATAAATGTCTATGAAAATGTATGGAGATAATATCAAACCAGAAACATTAAATGTTTTAAAATGGAAATAACTACTTTAACATATAAATGAAACATGGGGATTTTCCCATAACTTCATTATACCCAGAATTCTTTTTTCACATATTCTTTCTGATTATAAAGCAAGCTGAGAATTTCATATCATATTTAAAAGGTTTATGTTATGATACTTCTTTTCTTATTATGAATAGCCTACAGCAGGCTTTCAGCAGAGTGGAGCTAAAAAGAGGAAATTGTGGCAAGAGTTTCACAGTAAGAGAGATTATGTTTTAAAAAAAGAATCATTAAAACTTTAAAAGTTAGATTCATATCTTATGAGACTTGCTGACCTTGATTATTAAGTGCTAAGAACTAAAGTGATTGAGCCAGGGATGGTGTTAACAGCTAGGTCCTTGTCCCTGATTGTATCCTGGAAAAGAATATTCAGAAACATGTGCTGCACAGACAACTCAAGTAGAGACATACGAACACAGAGCGGGAGAGAGAGGGGTGCTTTATAAGGTCCTCTAGATTCTGTTTCAACATATACATCCTTGGTAAATTGAATATGTGACTAAAGCTGGAAACAGTTCCTCATATTCATGAAAGCTGAAAGGGTATCATCTCCGAGTTAGCCTGGCATCAAAATCAGCGGAAAGTACATCTAGCCAACGATACCAAGCTTCTGCATTAAGGAGGGAGAGACTAGGATGGTGGTACAGCTATCACCAAGTTAAGATAAACAAGACAGGTTCAAGAAAAATCTGGCTACTCTTTAAATGGGCTACCTGTACATCAGCTGCACAAGCAGTTTGTGATATAATAGCAAGAGTAATGAGCATTATATTGAATACCTTGTGACATTTTTTTTAAAGTGTTCAAGTTTAAAACTGGTTCATTCCTTCAAAAAGCCCACTAAATGGGTAATATCATCATCTACATTTTATAGCTCTGGTGGCCTAATGGGCAAAATGTTGTGCTACCCCAAACCCCAACCCTAAAGCAGGTGGTTAGACTCTACTGCCTGAGGGAGAAAAAAGAAACAATATCCTCCTGTGTTATTTATAGCTTCTGGTTAAACCCACTGGAGGGCCAGGTATGAGTCATTTCTGACCCAACAGCAATGAACTAAGTTGGGTTGAGCTTAATAGATCTAATGGATGAGAAGACTGATGCCCAGGAAATTAAGAAACTTAGCCAAAATTACTGAGCTGGTAAGGGAGTCAGCCAGTCTTCAAAATTGGGCATCTAGGGCAAGATATCAAAGTCTTAGCCACTAAGCTCTTCCCCTTTCCTAATGACTGGCACTGTTGGCACCGTGAGAAACTGCCCACCAAGAAGCGGTAAACTGTAGATTAAAGATGAGAAGAAAACCAGAGCTTCAGACTGAAATACTTAGAATGTAAAACCTTGAGTGGTAACATAAGTTGAGCAGTGATAGAACTACTTCTGAGGTTCCTCTGACCTGTATCCACTGAGAATATGAATGGAAATAAAAATAAGGTTGTCAGCAAATTACCTAAACAGCCTTTTAAGATTAGAGTTGCTAGCTAAAGTACATTCCACTTGGGACATGTTTGTATTATTGTGTATTTGTTCATTGTTTCTCTGAAATTCAAATTTCTCTGTACTCTGTATTTTCATTTGCTAAATTTGGTGTCCCTCTCTAAGGAGCCAAACAAACAACAGGTGCAAGGGCAGTTAACATTTAAATATCTAATAATATATGAGGCTGACTCTTGAAACTCTGTCAAATGCAGTGAAGCAAGGTGCAGGTGTGTGAACATTCTAGATTGGGATGACTGACTTCTATACAATAACAGCAGGAAACTTTTGGTCAACGACCCAGTTCCTGCTGAATACAATAATACCCAAATGCCTACAGATAACCTGAGGAACAAGACTGATACAACAATGGAAGAAGAAAGCACACCTAAGTGACTAAATCACATAGGTCAAGGTAGACCGAAGAGAGCTTAAAGATTCTGCCACCCACTTTTACACTGCTGGTGCTGAAGATCAGACGTATAAGGCATTCTCTCACAAAGTCTCTGGCTCTGATAGAAAGCATGGCTATTTCGTAAGCATCATTAAGAACAATGAAATGCAATAACTTTCTGGTCTCCCTCACACACTTGCCAACACTACTGAAGCTGATAAGTATGCAGTAAATCAACTGAAATGTAAGGAAAATGCAGTAATAAATCACTCTTAAGAAATAGTGGGAAGAGTTCAAGGCAGGGACAGTTGGGTGCGAGATTGGGGTCATGGTGGTGGAGACTGTGTTCCTGCCATTTATTTTTTCAACTAGTGAGCCTGAAATACTATCCCTCCTGAGGGAAGGAGGCAGTACCCTACTACCCCACTCCTACACACACACACACACACACACACACACTTCTGGGTAAGGGAGAAAAGAAAACTACACCCTTCCGCCTGAACTGAAAAGTAGCCCTTCCCCCCCCCACACATACATAAATAATAAATACTTTCTCTAGAAGGCTTAATAATGACCAGTTAAGCATAAATTGTAAGTAAGAACTCTGGTAAGAGAGGAAAATTAAGTAGAGGTTATAAAATTTTGAGGTCATAGTGGTGTCCTAAATAAGCTAAAGTTACTAAATTTATTAGAAGAACTTGATTGATTGGCTTCATTCATTTCTTAAATGAGCACATTTCCTGCCAAGTCCCATTGCAAAAGTAGTGAGAAAGTAAAAGCCTTTGGTACCTTCCATCTAAGTCCTCGATGTCCTTTATGAAAAGGCCACCTTGATGCTTGCACAGGTTCTTGCATGCCTTCAGACAGCTTTTATTCTTGTAGAGGATGTAGCTTTTGCCAGTGCTCTTATTTTGCAAAAAATTGATTCCTTCCTTGAGATTGCCAGCTTCAGCAGGTGATAGGCATAATAGGATCTCAGTTGTTTGTTCAATGCTTTTGAAAAAGGTAAACATTTTGAGGTGAAACATTAGTAACAGTAGGTTGGAAGAAAGAATAATTCCAAATGGCAGCACCAATAAATAGTTTTCATTTAAATATTTTTTTAAGTAGCCTACTTTCAATTGCCTAGGACCAAGAGTGTTGCAAATGGTTTGCATTCTACTAGTGGTCTAGTTCAGTGGCTTAGTAGTAAGAAGCTGCTCCACAATCCCCAAACCATGTGGTTTGAATCCATCAGCTGCTCTGTGGGAGAAAGATGGGCAATTTCCTCCCGTGTGATTTACTGCCTCTGTAAACCTACTGGCGGGCCAGATATGGGTCCATTCCAGTTTGACGGCACACAACAATAACAGTGGCCTAGTGGTAAGGAGCTATGCTGCCAACTCAAAGGTGCTCAGTTCAAATTCACCCACTGCTCCATTGGAGAAAGATGGACAATTTCTCCTGTTCAATTCACTGCCTCGAAAACCTGCTGGACGTGCTATTAGTGAATCAGTTCCAACTTGACTGCACATAACACCACCGCTAACTTAAAGGACAGCAGTTCAAACCCACCTCACAGAAACATGGAAGAAAAGTCTGCTGCTTCCTTAAAGAATATAACCAAAAAATCTCAGTGAAGCAGTTCTACTCTGTAGTATACACGGTTGTCATGAGTTAATATTGCCTTGATAGAAACAGGTCTGTTTTTCTGGCTCTGGGGAGTTTCCCTCTCAAGTAACAAGCTTGGAGGCTTCCTGATGGTGTACTTTATCCCCTCATTTAATTGTCCATCCTGTTGAACGTCCCTCTCACTTGCCTGCCCATCGTCTGCTGGCTCCTCTCTCCAGTATTTCAAAAGAATGGCAGTTGCTCTTTTCGCTTCTCTTGCTTAAAAGTTCTCACGGGAGTTTGCCTAGTAAGGATGTTTGCTGCCCCAGTTACTATCGTTTCCGCTCATGCTGCTTCATCTGGGCCACACCTCTTTCAAAGCCCCAAACTACCCCTTAGTTCCAATAAGCTCTATGTTCTACCCCACTTCCTCACCTTTGAACCTGCCTAAAAAGGCAGTTCCTTCTGTCACCATCACCCTTAAAGTTCAAATAGAACTCAATCACTGCCTCCTACCTTCTAAGTTGCTCCAAGTGTAGTGTTTGACTATTTGGTGTGCATTGTAACATAGCATGCCTGGCACTCTGCTCTATTAACTTTTCTGCATTTTTTTCTAGTTATTTATCCCCACAATTTAACCATTCACACTTTATCTGGCTTGTCCTCAAAAGCACCTCTCCTATCTCTCCTCCCACTGTACTCAATTTTAGTATCTCCCCGACCAGCCGGCACTGAAAGCTCCAGCCTCTTACAGAACACTTGTTACTACATATGTCTTTCAAGCAAACCGCAGGTGTGATGTTTCTCAAATTCCCATCTCTAAGTACACTATTTACAGTGCAGCTGTTAATAATAGAATGCCCGTTTTACCAGACTTTTCTGTGAGTTAGAATCAACTCTGTGGCAGTGAGTTCAATACAAATACTAATGAGAAGAAATGGAATGTGGTGTATTTGAGAACCTGACCTGTCATTCGCTCATTTTTTTCTGTACATCTAAAACTGCCCTAAAAAATAATGTCTTTACTAGCTATTTTATAACACTGCATATATCACAGTCTTCTAAAGGAAGAAACAAATTTGTCTTAGAAGATGTTCCTTAGAGGCAAGGATGGTGAGACTTCTTTTCATATACTTTGGGCACGTTATCAGGAAAAGCCAGTCCCTGGAAAAGGACATCATGTTTGGAAAAGCAGAGGGTCAGTGAAGGAAAAGAGCCTCAAGGAAATGGATCAACACCGTGTGTCTAACAATCTGCTTAAGTAAAACAGGTGCACCTAAGTCTTTAAATTGATAACCTTGTGGTTTAGCTCTCTGGAGAGGTCATTGACAGCATATTTTTCCCAGTGCAGCAAATTTTTATTTCTTAATTACTGCTATGGTAGTATTTTTTTTAATTTCATTTTTTAAATAAAACTGTTCTTTTATACTGGTTTACTTACAAATTTTGTATACATTGTTTTTCACTTTGGATCTTCCTCACTTGCTTTACCCTCGACTCATCAAATTGTGCGACCCTATGATTAACCAACACCAACACCATTACCCCTGCCCATCCTCATCCCTCTGTTCCCACCCTCCCGCCTTGGATTCTCATACACAGTATATAAAAATGGTCTCATACAGTATTTATCCTTATGGAACTGAGTTTACTTATCATAATACTCTTCAGTGCCTCCCAAGTTAGATAGTGATTTACAAAATCATTGTTCCTGCATGCTGCATAGTATTCCATTGCATGAATATATCATGATTTCTCAATCCATTTGATTGTGGTTGGACGTTTGGGCTGTTTCCATGTTTTTGCGATGGTGAATAACACTGCTATGAACAAGAGTGTACAAGTCTCTGTGCCTTGGTTCTCATTTTCTTGGGGTATATTCTAAACAGTGGAATAGCATGGTCATATGAAATTTCTATAGTCAGTTTTTTGAGAATGTGCCAAACTGTCTTCCAGAGTGATTGTACCATTATGTAATCCCACCAACAGTTTATAAGAGTTCCTATCTCTCCACATCCTCTCCAACATGTATTACTTGCTCTTCTGTTAAAACTCTGCCCCTGCTACTTGGGTGAGATAGTATCTGCCCCTGCTACTTGGGTGAGATAGTATCTCACTGTGGTTTTGATTTACACCTCTCTTATTGCCAGTGATTCTGAGAAGTTCTTTATGTGTCTGTTGGCCATCTGAGTATCTTCCTCTGTGAAAATTCTTTTCATGTCTTTTGCCCATTTGGAATTGTATTCTCAGTCTTTTTCTTGTGGAGACCCTGTAGGATTTAGTCCCAGGGTTCTGATTCACCTTGAATTGGGGATTTTTTTGTGTTTGTTTTTTGTTTTTGTTTTTGTTTTGTTTATAGTGTGAAATGTGAATGCTGTTTCAGCTTTCTCTGGGATTGCAGTGCAACTTCTTGACAGTAGGCCACCAGAGCTCACCTGTTTCAGCTTTCTATAGGAAGCAGTTCAGTTATGCTAGTACCATTTGTTAAAGATGTTGCCATTTCTCCATTTGATAGGTTTTAGATCCTGGTCGAATATTAGTTGACCATAGATAGCTGGGTTCCATTTAGGAGTTCTCATTTCTGTTCTATTGGTCTATGTGCCTGTCATTACATCATTACCATACACTTTCAGAACCCCTATGAACTTTGATAAATGTCAACAGTTGTAGAGGGTCTTCAAGCCTTTTGTTCATAGGGTTGCTATCAATTGTGCTTGACTCGAAGGCAATCAACAACAACAACATACATGAACAGGGAATATTTTTCCATTTATGTAGGTCTTTTATTGTCTGGTCCCAGTTCACAAGGAAAATACTGTTAGTCATTCTCCATTGAGAATGATTTTGACTCTTGGTTTTGCATATATAAAAGTTCATAGGGTTTCCAAAAGCATGTTATTTAGGAAGTGGATGCCACTCCTGCTTCCAAATAGGAAGACTCAATCAATATTGTGACAATGACAATTTTACCAAAAGCAGTCTACACAATCCCAATACAGATATCAAATTCATTTTTCAAGGAGATTGAAAGGGAAATTTCCAAGTTTATTTGGAGAGAAAAGAGACCCAGTATAAGCAAAGCACTTCTGAAAAACAAAAATTAAGTTGGAGGCATAGCACTACCTGACTTCGAAACCAACTACACAGTGGTAGTAACCAAAAGTGTATGGATTCTGTAAACTTTTTTTTAAGATATTATAATTTTACTCTGTAAACTTTTTATATGAGACCCTTGTCTGGAATGGTATTGTGAAATGTTTTTCCCTAGTCAGTAGGTTTTCTGTTCTCTCTGTTGGAAAAAGATTTTGATGTGCACAGGAATTTATCTTTAGAAGGTCCAATTCATTAACTCTATCTACTCCAGCATGTGCATTTCTGGCTGTATTTGGCAGTCTTTTTATGCCACAGACTAGGTCATATAAGCTTGATTCCAATATGTCTATGATGAACTTCATGGTTTGGGGATTTAGTCCCAGGGCTCTCTCTCTGATTCACCTTGAGGTTTGTTTGGGTTTTGTTTGTTTGTTTGTTTGTTTGTCCGTATTGTGAAATGTGAATGCTGTTTCAGCTTTCTCTGGGATTGCTGCACCGTAGAACAAATGTCACAATTTTTATTCATTTATGCCAGAGACTCCCTGTACTAAGTTAATTAACACTCAAGCCAACACTTACATTCCTTCCACCAGAGGACTGTGTGAAGTCCTGGATAACAAATATAATGGACAGAGTCTGAAGATGGAATGAACTCAGGGCCCCTTAGTTACACAACATTCAATAAATAACCCAAGATAACGCTTCCACGCTTCTGCCAGTGGCCCTGCAGCTTTAAACTCAACCTTTACCAATCCCAGAGAAGTTGGCAGGAGCCCTGAGGAGAGTTCTCTTTTTTCTTTTCTTTCATATATATATAATTCTCTCCCTTCATTCATTTTAATCACCAAATTTCAGTCTGTAGCATGCTAACCAGAAGGTGGTGTGGTTCCAGTGGTTTGACTCCATCAGATGCTCTGAGGAAGAAAGAAGAGCATTCTCCTCCCACTGAGATTTACAGCCTCCAAAACCCAATAGGGGGTCACTGTGAGTTGTAATAGGCTCAATGGCTTATTTTTCTGAAGTCATAGAGAACCTCTGACTATAAAACAATGACTCTAGAAAACAGTAGCCAGAAGATCCTTATGTAATACCTACACATTTGGGTCAAATAAATAATGCACAATGGAAATGAGAAAATGTATTTAACTGAATTATAATAGAACATATAAGAGCATATATTATTTAGGTTAGCAGAACTTACAGAGAAATACAATGCTTAAATTTGAATGTTTTAAGACAAAGTTTGCAAGAATAAGCATCCTTTACAAAGTTGGAAAACAGACAGTCCAAAGAAAGTAGAAGAAAATGTTTAAAGTAAAAGTAAATATTA